AAAACCCCGCAGTTGCATCCAGCTCTCCCAAGGTTTGCACAGCTAAAGCTGAATATCCTAAAATGGCAGAGTTCTCTGCTTCGTAGGCTCCCGAGTGCTGTGGACTGCTCCCACGGGTAGGTTTTGGGTAATGAGATCAAGCTGAAGGCTGGAGGTGAAGTACACGATGCCCCTTTTGAGGACACATTGGGTTTTGCACGCTTTCTTCTCTCTGTTGCCAAGCTGGGAATGCTTTAAAGGCCTCTCGCTTTGAGAAACTGTAAATGAATAAGTAATTTTTAAGCTCTTCTGCTTGCTTAAACAAGAAAGGATTGGGAGAAGGGCAGTTGTTTAATTAAAGAGCTACTTGGGATTGGCCACAAAAGCCTGAACTCCAGCAGGAACTCTCCTAATTCACAGATTCCTTGGGAATTCAGTGACCTCGCGCTTGCTCCGATGGAGCTTGCTTGAGATATTTGGCTGCCTTTCTCGAGTGTTTTGGAGGGGAGAGCGGTGCAGAAGGCGCTGTGAGGCTCTCAGATGTAGCTTCACTCCGTATCATGTAAGAAAAATAACGCACAAAATGAACTTCTTGCTGCAGAGCGTGCCCGGAGTTACTGCACTCGGAGGTCGCAGTACATCACAGCTGGCTCTGCTATGGAAATCTTGAGTGCTGGCTCTTCGGGATGTCCCACTGCTTTCCTTGCCCCTCTTGAATGCATGAAACAAAGCAACCAGTGGCACACGATGAAATCTGTGTGAGGAGTAACTCGTCTGAAGGGTCGCATCATTTATTTGGGCTTTGCTTGTCAGCCCGGAGGGAAGTCAGAGCTCCCGGTGCTGAGCGGCGTTTCCTGGAGCCTTTCCTGCGGCGGCGACTGGGGAGGTCACGGGGCCGGCCGAGTTCCCTGGAAACGCGTGTTTACCCACCGCGGCCCCGTGTCTGTCTCTGCTGTAACTTCAGCCGTGGCAGTGGTTGGCTGTGGCGCCGCACACAGAGCATCGGGGTTTGAAACGGGAACATCCTCCTGAATACACAGAGCTGTGTGCAGGGAGGTTGCTGCCGTCTCCTCCTCCACCACGGGTAAGTAGAGACCACTGCTCCTTTCCACTGGCTCTACATGCAGAGTATTTTAGCAATTCAGCTATCCCAATGATTTAGGAAAAAAAAAATCAAAATAATGATCAGTTTTGGTGGATCACTCCAAAGTGGCAGAGCTGTGTTAGCGCTGCTGCAGTTTTATACAGTCACTTGGTGCCAGACACCTTTCATTTCTCTTCAGCCGACCAACAGGAGCTGCCCCTCGCACCGTCACGGCTGCGTCTCTGGAAGGAGGAGATGGGGTGAGCACCCTGCGTAGAGCTGTGGGGCAGGGTACGGGGTGTCCCAGCACCCACGTTGCTCCCATGGGAGCTGTAGAGAGGGCCCTTCACGCTCACCTCCTCCCAAAGGAGATGCTCCTGCGCTAGGTGACATCTTTCAAGCTTTTAATTAGCTGGGCTTTGTAATTAAAGCCCATCTCGGGCGTTTCGAAGCCTGCCACACGACGTGTCTCGTCCACCACTGCTTTTCATGGGACTTGTGGGGCTGCTCTCGGGCCGCGGCTGCACAATCTGGAGCTGTGAGAGAAAGCCCTCGGGGGCTGCTCCGTGGCCGGGGGCCAGCTTCTGCATGAACTGGGCTTATTTTTAAAGCCCATTTTCTCCAGTACACTTTTTTTTGGCCTGCAAAAGACCTTCTTCATTGAAAACGAAGAACGTAACACTCTCTCCTTTCACTTGGCCTTCTGGATAGGGGCCAGCAGTGCCCACAACAGCTGTACCACAGTTTAAACATTCAGTCTCTAATGGTTTGGGGAACATTAGGGTTTTTAAGGCTTCAACAGGTCTAGAGTAAATAGTGGTCAATAAAAAGTAGCTCTTCTTTGTATCCCCGCGCTCTCGGTGCTCCGCGCTAGAAGAAAGCATGCTTAGAATATAATCATTGCAAAAATTAATATCCATGAAAGGTCCTTTTCTTGAGAAGAATCATAGAAAAATCCTGGGTTTTGCTGAAAGAAGAGTTTGCAAGAGTTCAACTCGGAGCCTGCACGTAACGGCTGTTGGACGTGCTTGTGTTCAATGGCTGCTGTGTGGGAGGAGAGCACAAATTACAGAGAGATCACAGACAAGCTTCTCCGTTGTCTTTTCCCACCCACCCATCTCTATTAACGATGTGCGCAAGAGGTAATTAGGATTTTTGGTCTTCGGTCGTTGCCCTTGTCAGTGCTCAAACCCAGTGCTTAGACCTAGCGCTGCTGTGCTGATTTGAATGGATTGATGGTGGTGGTGCTGTCAAACCCGGGAGGAGTGCTCGTTTTGGGGGGTTTTGTAGACACAATCCACGTGGGGCTCCTCATCGCACAGGAAAGGCCATGGGCATCGCATGGGGTGAGTGTCTGCAGGCCCAGCAAGGGTTAAATTGCTCGGTTGACTGTGGACCTCATCCACAGCACCTCATGGCACCCTGCAGAAGTAGCTTGTAAGTCCTTACACCCTCATTAGCCCCTTCCCTACCGCTGTGGGGTGCCCCTGCGTTCCTAAACAGGGCATCAGGGCAGTGGGATGCAGGCACCTCCCCGGCGCCGCTGATGTGAGGAGATGAGAGAGACTCTGGAGAGGGGGAGCCTTCATAGGAAAAACAAGGCAAGCGCCAGCCTTGCAGGGCGTTCTTCTGAAAAATGGGATCACAGCAAAGCCTGCTGCCCTGGCGCTCCTCACGGGTTGCACTGCGGGGCTGGTTACGGCTGTCACCTTTTTGGCTGAGCGAGGCGGCTGGTCAGAGATGTGCGGTTGTACATCACCTTGCAGTGAAGCACCAATGAAGTCCTGCTGAGATGCGTTTCATTTTCAGCTGGGTTTCCAAAAGTAGCCGGATTTTGGAAGAGGCAAGAAGTAGCATTAAGAGTTCCGAGGTTACCCAGCCCAGCTACGGGGTTACTCCTGCGTGGCAACCAGAGCTTTGCCGTGCACTTGTTGATGTTACTCAGGGCCGTTTACGAGGGGTGCGGATCTTCGCCCCTGCTGGGAAGTTGCACAACTGCCCATCGGTGTTCCATTAACCGCTGTTGTGTAATCCCAAAGCCTTTCTGCTCTCATGGTTTCCTCTCGTAGCTCATTCAGAATGCCCTAGATGGCAGTTTTGGAGTAAACGCATTCAGGCTGCATGGTCTTGATTTTCTTCGCTTATAAACTCAAAACAAGGGTTGAAATGAAGTCCTATTGTCGTTTTTCCCTTTAAATCATCGCTGCCTAATGACAGGATTTAAGGACTTTTATCTAATGTCACAGTCCTCCTGGGAAAGCCTGTGCCTATAGTTGTGTTGTGGTTAAAATGCCAGTGAAATCTGTTACTCTATGTGTTTAATCTGTTACTAGAGATATGTATTAAATGCATATGGTGTGTATAAGTATTAAAGGCTTATGGTATCTATATAGATCTATATATCTACATATCTATATATATACTGACTCCACTGATCCCTCTTAATACATATCTATATATATAGCTATCTATATATATCTACATAGCTGTATATAGAGATATATATTCAGAGGGATCAGTGGAGTCAGTATAAACACACGTGTGGGTCCTGCAGTGCCCGGTCCTGTCCTTGCTGTGTGAGCTCTCCCTCATAACAAGTTGTGTCCGCAGCCGAATTTCAGGTCAGTGCGCGCACATCTGGGTCGTTAAGACAAGGGCAATGAAATCCAGGTGGAGGTTTGTCCCTTACATTAAACGTCTGTCCACAGTAATGGGGAAAATGCAACCAGAGGCCTAACGAAACAGGATTTCTGCTGGGACTGAGCAGCAGCCGGGGGCATTGCTTGTGCTGTTACAGGGAGGCTTTCGGTGCCTCTGATTTCCCTTCGTTTAATTTGCTCTCTTTGATTGCCATCGTATTTGAGTCGTTCTTCTGTTTGGGTTTTGGCTCCTTGCTCATCTTTATTTTAACCTGTGCTTTCTCGACTGCGTTACCTACAGCGAATTCTGCTGCCAATAGCGCAGATTGGATCCTGTGGATGAAGCTGCCACACATTGGATCCTGTGGATGAAGCTGCCACACCAGCTCCTCCAGCAGGACCGTGGCATTCGTGCGGTGACACCTTTAAATGTCCCTTGTCCAGGCTGACCCTGGGCCTTGAGGGTTTTCATTCCTCTTGGAGCGGTTTTTCCAGCTTATTTTCCACGTTATCACCCTGGTTTCCACGTGCCTGTCATTGCAGCAGCTACTGCCTGTCCTGCTGGAGGCAGCAAGGCCGGTTCGCCTGCTTTTCTTACCTTGCGGCTTTTCCAAATCTGATCTTAGCTTGCCATCACCTTGTTGTGAAATGGCCATTTCCACTTGAGGGTTGCTTTTATTCCAGTGCACACATGCATGCTGCATTTCCTGCCTGCTGGAAGTGCTGCTGGGAATCTCAGGTGCATTTTACTTTCTGTGGATGTTATAAATCCTATAATTTATTTGGCATCTTGGCTATAGCGTTCAGCAAATTGGACTTTTTAATGCCTAAACAGCATTTGGGTGTTACGGAAAAGGTGTGGCCATGCTTGTTTACTGTGTGTGTGGCATCCTTATTTTATTGTTCATTTTCACCATTGAAGCCCGTGGGAAGCAGACAGATAGCAAGTTTTGTAGTGAAGACTTTGTGGGGTTTTTTCTTCCTGGTGATGCTGCAAAAATGAGCTTACAACCTACTTACTGCTCCGTGGTCTGGCCGACGGGGATGTCTCTAGAACGGGCTGTCGTAATCCCAAATCCATGGTAGATGTTTCTTTCACCAGTTTACAATGAATAATCCTCTTCATTTCCTCGAATAGCAGCTGGTATTGCTACAACCTGTGCCTAAACCCAAACAGTTTATTCCGAAAGCCTTCTGGCCCCGCGAGCAAGGCGAATTTTCTCCCAGTGGGGATGCGCGGGCCGACTTTCACAAGCACGGAGCCACCCAAACCCTGATTTCTCCTTCCTCTCTTCCAGATGCAGCAGCTGTTTTATGAAAACTACGAGCAGAACAAGAAAGGCTACATCCGAGACCTGAGGAACAGCAAAATCCACAGAGCTATAACGCTGCACCCCAACAAGAACCCCCCGTACCAGTACAGGCTTCACAGCTACATGTTGAGCCGCAAGATAGCGGAGCTGCGCCACCGGACGGTGCAGCTGCACCGGGAAATCGTCCTGATGAGCAAGTACAGCAACACGGAGATCCGCAAAGACGACCTGCAGCTGGGGATGCCGCCCTCCTTCATGCGCTTCCAGCCCCGCCACCGGGAGGAAATCTTGGAGTGGGAGTTCCTGACGGGCAAGTATTTGTATTCGGGGGCCGACGGGCAGCCCCCGCGGAGAGGCATGGACTCCTCTCAGCGGGAGGCCTTGGACGACATCGTTATGCAGGTCATGGAAATGATCAACGCCAACGCGAAGACGCGGGGGAGGATCATCGACTTCAAGGAAATCCAGTACGGCTATCGCAGGGTAAACCCCATGTACGGGGCAGAGTACGTGCTCGACTTGCTGCTGCTGTACAAGAAGCACAAGGGGAAGAAGATGACGGTCCCCGTCAGGAGGCACGCGTACCTGCAGCAGACCTTCAGCAAGATCCAGGTCATGGAGCACGAGGAGATGGACGCCAAGGAGCTGGCCAGCAAAATCAACCAGGACTCGGGGTCCTTGTCCTTCCTCTCCAACTCGCTGAAGATGTTCGTTCCCTTCCAGCTCGGCCGATCCAAAGCGGAGAGGAAGGAGCTCAAGGACCAGAAGATCAACATCCTGATTCCCCTCTCCGGCCGCTTCGACATGTTCGCGAGGTTCATGGGGAACTTCGAGAAGACGTGCCTCATCCCGAACCAGAACGTCAAGCTGGTGGTGCTGCTTTTCAACTCCAACTCCAACCCCGACAAGGCCAAGCAGATCGAGCTGATGCGGGATTACCGCTCCAAGTACCCCAAGGCCGACATGCAGGTTTTACCGGTGTCGGGGGAGTTCTCCCGGGCGCTGGCTCTGGAGGTGGGCTCTTCTCAGTTCCAGAACGAATCTCTGCTTTTCTTCTGCGACGTCGACCTCGTGTTTACCACAGAATTCCTCCAGCGGTGCAGAGCCAACACGCGTTTGGGTCAGCAAGTCTACTTTCCCATCATCTTTAGCCAGTACGATCCAAAGATTGTTTATAGCGGAAAGGTTCCCAGTGACAATCATTTTGCCTTCACCCAGAAAACGGGCTTCTGGAGGAACTACGGCTTCGGCATCACCTGCATTTACAAAGGTGACCTGATCCGCGCCGGCGGCTTCGACGTCTCCATCCAAGGCTGGGGCCTCGAAGACGTGGACCTGTTTAACAAAGTCATTCAGGCCGGCCTAAAAACTTTCCGAAGCCAAGAGATTGGCGTGGTCCACGTGCACCACCCCGTTTTCTGTGACCCCAATCTCGATCCAAAACAGTACAAAATGTGCTTGGGCTCCAAAGCTTCCACGTATGGGTCCACGCAGCAGCTGGCCGAAATATGGTTTGAGAAAAATGACCCGAATTTTGGGAAGAGCAGCAATACAAACGGCTCAGTGAGGACAGCCTAATGTCCAGCTATGCTGGCAAAGACTTTTTTTTTAATTATCTAATTTATTTTTTGGGAAAACGTTTTTTGATAATTCACTTTTCAAAGACCACACAGGATATATTTTAGAAATCATCGTCGTTTTCTTACGAAGCGCTGCGTTTCGCGAAGAACGAGGCCGTTGTTGGGGTTTTCTTTTTGTTGTCGTCGTCGTCGCGTTGTTTTTTTGTTTTCCGGTTCTGAACGAAACTGTGATTATCGACATTTGCCTTCAAACCACCAGAACAAACCATCGTTGTGTACGAGTGACCGCGGCGGTCGGCGGAAACCTGACTTGAATTCGAGTTTCCTCGTGAACGAGAGATTTTCCTTTCCTACCTTTTCCTGCCGCCTTCGTTGCTGGGATTCCGTCAACCGGGACCCGCGGCAAAGCCGAGCGACAAAGCGGGGACCGAAGCGTTCGGTGGAGGCGGCCGCCGCGCAAAGGTTCTGCTTTTTGTGGTCGGGGGAGCCGGTGTTTGTTAAATCGCGCTAAAACCAAACGGATCAGAGCGGTGAATTGTGAGAGGGGGTTTTTATTTCCCAAATGGCCGATTAAGTTCGGTTTGAAAATACATTTCCACTTCTTCTGGCCGGGCGGCTCCGAGGGAGGGAAGAAAGGAAGCACAACCCAGTGGGTCCCTGTAGCAATGCTTTATCTTTTCCATGTGGTCCGTGTCCGGACGTGAACGTTTCAGGAGGACGGGAAACTCCGATTTCTCGCAGCGAAGCGACTCTGCACGAGGACCAATTGGAGATCCCCGAGGAGAACTCTGAATAACCTTAACTACCGGGCGTCCTGCACCTGAGTGCATCGGTTTTGTGCTGTTAATGGGAACAGTTACTGCATTTGGTTACTAGGTTTGTTTTGGGATTATATTTTTTTTTTTCCTGTATCGGATAGACCGTTAATTTATTTAATATCCATCGGTTTAGGTTCTTGCCCTTTCCTTGAATATCTGTTAGTCATTTTAATATTTTATATATATATATATGTGTGTGTAAATATATATATATATATTAGGAATGTATTGCATCTTCTCACTGGTAAGGTAGTGTACATCATACTTGCAGTAAATGATCTCCAAAGATGACTTTCTAAAATATTTTTTCATGGATCTTTTTTTTTTTCCTTGTCCCCAAATTTCCGTTCACGTTTTTTTTTTGGGACGACTTCAGCGAGCTTAGGACATTTTTGGGTTGGTTTTTTTTTTTATTGGTGTTCTGAGAGGAACTGGGGTCGGGGAGGCCGAATACGTGGAAAAATGTGATCCCTGCGCATGAACACCCAGCAAGGTAAGAGCAAACCCCCCAGATAAAGTGCCTTAAAGCCAGAAAGGGAACCCTCTGCCCTGGGCCGCAGTGCGTGGCCCCTGTCGTTGCAGCAGACGATCGATTGGGCCCGGCCTGTAAATATCTCAGCAGAACCAGAAGCTACAACCCAGCCACCCGTGTATTTTTCTGTGGTGTCCTCCAGCACCGTTTCGGAGCAGATAAAACCCCCGGTGCTGAAGGTGATGCCGTGCCCGAAGGGATCTCGCGGAGCAATCGCTGTTCAGTAGGAGACATCCCCATGTTTACACGCGTGTGGAAGCAAACTGCAGTAGCGTAGAGTCGATGTCTTACCATGCCCGTTGTTTTTTGGTGACAGGACGTAGGTACTTGGATGGATTCAGTGCATGGAAAAAAAGAAAATATCTTCTCTTTTTTTTTTTTTTCCTTTTCTGTTTTTTTTTTTAAAGACTTTGCTTCTAAGATGCAATAAAGATTTTTTTTTATTTGCAACCGGAGCCGCTCGTGTCGTCTGCCTCCGTCCGTGCCTTTCCGCCGAGGCAAAGCAGGTTTGGGAGGTAAGGATCCGCCAAGGGGTTTGCCCTCTGTGCTGTGCTTCAGCCCCAGATTACCCTAACGCCACGCACCTCGGCTCTGGGGGAAGGGGACACAAATCCCAAAGGGGTTTTGGACTCATGGAGAGGTCAAAAGTGCTTTTGCCACCTGAAAACATCCATCGCGGTGCATTTAAACTGCATGCGGTGACAGGGCTGGGTAATTGAGTTGTGTGTGGTCAAAACGCAGTGAAGGTAATTTCTACATCAAGCATTTATTCTTAATGGCGCTGCCAGCTTTGTCTCCCTCATTCAGCAGTGACGTGAGGCTTTTTTATGATAATTAAGGCCCAAAGCGAGAATTTTAGGGGTTACAGAAGGGTTTCTTCACACAAAGGAAAGGAAAAAAAATCCAAGTACTGTATTTGTGGCTGCAGAAAAGAGCTTGAAGAATATGAACCCTAAAGAACTGTACCCAAAAAACTGAGGGAAAATAAGCCCTGTGCTTATTCTGTGTTTAGGAACATTTATGGTTATGTAGCACTTCTTTTAGCCCATAGGGGCTGGTAAAAGCAGAACGTGTGTGAATTGAAAGTTCCATTCACTGAACAGCCCCCATCTGGTGCTGGGGTTTTCTGCTCAGTTGTGATCCAGGTCGCAGATCTGCCCGAGCAGCCTTCAAAGTGAATTTTACACCAAGCTCGCAGGCATCACTTGAGGCCCCCACGTCTTGTCTGGCCACATCTTTTATGGACTCGCAGCTTAAAAGCGATCAATTTTAAAGTTAAAGTTCAGCTCATAACCATCTATGGTTAAACTCTATCCTATAAAGCTCATTTTATACCAAAATTGGCCGTATTTGCTGCCCAGGCCGTGAGGAGGGGACCAGGGGAGGCCGGGGGCTGGCGAGTGCTGACCCAGCACTGGTGGATGGAGCGGGACCAGGGGGGGCTGCACAGCCCCAGAGCTGCCCAAACTTTTCATTGCAAATCGTTACCCTGAGCCGTTCCACGTGAACACTTCCTAAAAATACTCCTCGTGCGCAGCCAGAGCTTTTGGGAAAGCAAAACCTTTCCGAGGTGTTAGAGCTGGAGAGCGGCTCAGTGCTTCCCACTCCCCCCAGTTCCTCTGCTCTGCTTCGGGCCGTGGTGGTTTTGGGGCTGCGTTAGGACCTGGTTTAACCACAGGGGTCTGTGCCCAGCGCTGCTCTCCAGGGTGAGTTTTTGGAACAAACTCATGGGTTTTGGTGCCAGTTGGAGCTCCAGGGCTGTCTCCTCCATGGCCATGGGGAGCCTTGGCGCCGTCCTAGGCTCCTCGAGCTGCATCCCATGGGGTTTTCTGCCTCCTCCCCTTTACGGGATCTCACCTGGCTGCCGCTGCTTTTATTCCTCACTTTCCCAGGTGCACAAAACCCACTCGCGTCCTTTCCCGGCTCCAAACCTCATCTCCCAGCTCTCCTCCAGCCCAGGAGTCTCTGCCACCCTTTAAATCACGTTTATGAGCAGGGTAAAAAAAACTGCATTTAACATAAAAAAAAAATAACAGCCCGAATACTGGGCTGGCTGTATTGACTTTCACACTTTAATTCAATAAAATAACCTTGATTTTAATTGACCTGACTCAGCTCCAGCGTTTCCAGTGCCCTGGGCTCGAGTGTCTTGGAAATTAGGGGGGGGGTCCCAATCGTGCAGCTGGGGGTGCAGGGAAGACTTTGCCCGGGTCTTTTGGTTTCTTTAGAAAAGGAAGACAGAAAAATTATTGACACCTTTGTGCTTTATTGACTTGTCAGGAAGAGGGCTCAGAGGAAGGGCACAGTTTAAAGTAAAGCTGCAGTAAAACAAACGTCCAAGTCAAATGCGCTGGCACGGGACAGACCAAGGCCGTTCGCTTGGCTCTGCAGGGAGCGTTTTTGGGCCTGGGGAGCCCCAGTTGCCACAGAGGTGCAGCCTCACGGGGTGGGGATGTGCCCTGGCCCCCTGCCCCCTGCCCCAAAAAATCACACCTGGGTGATTCCCCTGGTGCTGAGCACCTGCCCCGGGCAGGCTCAGCCCCCAGCACCATCCCTGGCCCTATCCCCATCCTCATCCCCACCTTCATCATCTTCGTTCCCTCTAAGCCTCAGTGGGAAGGGCTTATTTTTGGTTGCGTTTTTTTTAATTATTCATTTTTTTTTAAATTCTCTTTTCCTGGGTTCAGCTGAAGCTCTCAGTGATTTTTGGGGCAAAGCTGTGCTGGTTTTTCACCCTGCTAAGGTGGTTGTTTTTTTTTTCCACCGCCCCGCAGGCCGTGGTGACTGCGCGGAGCCAACTGACGGCTGCTGCCTCCCCCAGCATCAGAAGCAGGGACAGAGCTGGGCGCTGTTTGCTCAAGAAAACCAAATTTATTGTATTTTATCTTCTAAATTCAGCATAATTTGTCACAGGGGGCCCTGCTTGGTGCAGCCATACAGGATTGACAGCACAGTGCAAATCAAAGGGAACCCCCCCCCTTCCGCTCCCTTTTCCCGAGGTCAGAGCAACAAGTCCCCGGAGGGAGGTTTATTGGGGCCGGAAGATTGCAGGGAAGTGTTTAATAGCACGGAAACAGCCCCCAGTTGCCACCGGGGCAATAAGGAGACCCGGGGGTGACAGCGTGTGGGGTTGGGACCTCCCGATCCCGTGCCTGGGGTGGGGGCTCAGCCTCGGAGCTGGGATCCCCCTCAGTGCCCGCTGGTGGGGGAGGCTTCAACCCTGCAAAGCGCCTTCCTCCGACCTCTCTAAAAGACATTGTCAAAGAAAAGAAGAGACAAATAAATAAACAGGAAGTAAATTGTAGAGGGGAGCCTCCAACGTTCAGTATTTGTCACTGGGAGCAGGGCCTTAATGCTCCTTTCAGTCCATGCGTCCCCACAGAGTCCCAGTATGGGGGTGACCGGGGGCAGCCGATTTGGCTGGGAGGGCACAGCAGAGCCAGGGCCTCCTCCTGCCACCGGTGATCCAAAAACCAGGCCCCGGTGCTGGTTACACCACCAAAGGGGGCCGGTGCCGCCCATCCCGGGGCCGGGGTAAGGCGAGGACAGGCGGACAGCCCGAAATAGCCACCATATTTCCTGTGCTTCAACGTTTGCTTAAAGAAAACTAATTTCCTCTGTCTTGGCGGTAGCAGAATACAAAGCAGCCGGCGCTGCCCCTTTCCCCACGTCCCTTAAAGAAATAATTATAACCAAAAGAATTCACCTTTTTTCCTTACACTGAAACTGAGTCAATGGGGGGAGCATCCAGCTGGTG